GAGCGTGGTGGTGTGTGCCTGAAATCCTAGCTACTCAGGAGGCTGAGGTGGAAGGATTGCCTGAACCCTGGAAGTTGAGGCCGTGATGAGCCATGATCGAGCCGAGCCACTGCACTCTGGACTAGGAAGCAGAGATCTTGATTCAAAACCACAAAACAAAAGATCAGAGGGAATGTTTTGCTCGTTATGCCAGTAAAGATGTACTGACCAGCAGCCGCAAAGCTGTGAGCTCTTTAAGTAAAACTGAACATATCACCATCAGTGCATACACACACCCCTTTTAAAGCTATCCAGAATGCTGCATTGGAAACCTTGCTTCATTTTAAACTTATCAGACAACTCCAAGGACTAGTACTCTGAATCAGCAAGAAGAGATTTTTCATGCATTTACTTGGTTAAGGACAGATAGTACTGAATTTTTGTCAGTCTGTTTTGATGTTTTTGTTGTAACATGAGTTCATTCGTTGGGCTGCAGTGAGGGGTACAGGTAATTCCTCCCCACAGTCTCCAAGTCGAAGCACCATTCGTTGTTCTTGAGGAAATTGTTTTCCCGAATTCCAAAGCATGTTTCTAAAACATTACTGCCACACATGCCAGTTTAAGGTAGCAGGAAGAATCTTGGACTGGGATATATCATCTGGATTCTGATCTTGGTTTTTTAACTGATTAATTATTTAGCCCCTCTGGGTCTCATTTGCCTCACTATTAAAATGAGATGGTTAGATTAGATGGTGATTGGGTGGCAATGATAATAGAAAAAAATAACAATAGCTGATTTTTGGCTACCAGGGAAGCATTGTGCAGGGCTCTAGCCAGAGGTTATATGTCATTTAATCCTTACAGGGCTACTCCGACCTCAGAATTGTTAGCCCCGCTTATACTTGCAGAAACTGAGGCACAGAGAGATTAAGGGACTTGTCTGGGGTTTTACAGCTGGGGAGTGAGCAGGCACTAGGTCTGGCTTCTGGGGGAAACTTGACCACTATGCTTTCTAGTTCAGTGGTTCTGCGAAGTACTATTTATAGTGCAAAGCCTGTGTTTTGAAATGTTGAGGAAGAAAAATTAGTTTTACTGAAATCCAATTTCACATCATTCCTCCCAAGCTATTTTAAAATCCGGGAACTTGTATTTAAATGAAAACTTAACTTTCTTTCTCGCTTTTCCCCAAATACATCTGCATGGAAGGTCATTACTTGGTTATAGCGAAAGATTCAGGGAGGAAGTCTGCCATCCATGCTGTTTGCTGTTGGTAAGAAATGCGTTTGTGGCTGGGCGTGGTGGCTCACGCCTGTAATCCCAACACTTTGGGAGCTGAGGTGAGAGGATTGTCTGAGCCCACTCATTCGAGACCAGCCTAGGCAACTTGGTGAGACCTCATCTCTCCAATAAATCAAAAAATTAGCCGGGCATGGTGGTGCATGTCTGTAGTTCCAGCTACTTGTAAGGCTGAGGCTGAAAGGTTGCTTGAACCCATCAGGTCATGACTGCAGTGACTGTGAGCATGCTGCTGCACTCCAGCCTGGGCAACAGGGTGAGAACTCCAACTCAAAAAGAAAAAGAAATGTGTCCGTGGTGGTCTTTCCCAGAATTCTGCAGCTGAGTTGTCCCTCGTAAAGAAGATACTTTGCCCTTCCTTTCTTTCCTCCTGCAACCAGCCCTTTAACTTCGATGGTTGGAATATTTGTTATGCCTGTTTGTTTGGAGTTGCCAAGTAAGTACTTACTAGTATTACTATGTAGAGCTTTTTATTTTATTTTATTTTTTAGTTCAAGTCTCACTCTGTCGCCCAGACTGGAGTGCAGTGGGCTCCGGTGATCCTTCCTCCTCAGCCTTCCAATTTAGTAACAGAAATGAATTCAGTAAAGCATCAGGCCAACTGCAGAATTGAAAGTTCTTCAGATGACTGTCATAAAGCCGTAACCGTCAGTAGTCTTTCTCTGAACAGAAAACTGCTGCCATAAAATCAATCACTCTCTCTTTCTGCCTTTGTCCGTCTTTGTCTTTGTGGTGTCTCCCCCCCCCCCCCCCCCAGGATCTCACTCTGTTACCCAGGCTGGAATACAGTGACATCATCATACCATCATGGCTTATTGTAGCCTTGAATACTTGGGCTTATTGGGTCCTCCTGCTTCTGAGTAGCTGGGATACAGGTATGCACCACCATGCCTGACTAATTTTTTAATATTTTTTTGTAGAGACAGAGTTTCACTACATTTCCCAGGCTGTTCTAGAACTTCTGGCCTCAAGCAGTTCTCCCAGCTCAGCCTCCCAAAGTGCTAGGATTTTACAGATGTGAGCCACTGTGCTGGTTTCTTTTTTCTTATTAAGCAAATTTCATGATAGCACATTGTTTTCCTTACAGAGAAATAAATAGAGGACCTTGTGACTCAGCGTGATCACAGACATGAAAAGGAACTAAAGGTTTTTGTTTCTGGAACTTTTTAGAACTTAAAGACTTGTTCCAAATGGAGCTGTACAGGAGTGTGACAAACCAGGTTTGAAAATCTTTGTTCCCAAAGATTCAGGACCTTGCCATGATTTGCATTGCCTTGTTTGTGCTGAATACCTCACTAACGATTTTAATGAGTTATAAGTCATTCCCAAGGGAACATCTTCAGTAACTTTTTATAAACCATCATTATCAATGTCTGTTGTCTTAGAGTTAATAGAAATGATTGAGTCATCTCAGTTATGATTTTGAGTCATTCCTTTGAGGATACAGTGCATTTTATAAGCCTTTTTAAAAATGGCTATCAGAGGGCAAACCCTCTGTGTCCCCTCCCATTGTGGGACCTTTTCTGTCCTCTCAGTAAATCCTGCTTTCAAAAAAAAAGGGGGGGGTGCTATCAGAGCAGAGGGGAGAAGGGAGGTGGTGTGTGTGCATGTTTGTGTTTGGGAGGGGTGTCTACATACTTCACAGCCTGCAGGGAGGTGGTGACTCCACAAGCCAGCATTATGGGGGTAGTAAAATCCAGAGAGCCTCCCATGACAGTTGGCCGCTGGCCTTCAGGGTATAAAAACTGTCCCACCATCATGGAGAGTTTTCTCCTTGCCTCAGCATAATGAGGTCAGACCCTCAGTGCCTTAGAAACTGGAACTGCTGTTGCCTAGACCAATTATTGGATACACAAACAGTGCCTATTGGGAGGCCCTCTTGGGTTTGGGGCATGAGGAGGGATTTCCCTGAGTATTGGTTTTTGTGGGTTTTTTCCTTGTTTTGTTTTTTCAACCTTCAAATCATTATCTAGGGATGGTTTTGTTAAGGTGATGTATCAACATTTTGTGTACAGCAGGTGAAAAAAATGTCATGATGCTGTTACATACTTCTGAAACCCCAAGCCCAGAGTCACAGAGTGGAAAGTTAGCTTAAGTGGTAGTGTAATAGCATCTTCTCAATCCATAACTCGTAGATCTCTGCAGCAGTCTCTCACACTGTTACTGTTAGTTTCAGAGAGCCCATGTTACTAAAATATTTAGGTACTAGGACGTAGACAAAAGAAAAGGAAACCTTTAAAGGTTTCTAAACTCACGGGGTCAATCTTGTGGTGCTGAGAAAGCAGCTGTAGTTTTGACTCAGGTTAGATGGAGGAATAAGAAATATTTGACTTGAAAAGCCAGTTCCTTGGACTCATGGTTCTGACTCTATTTTCACAGGCAGTATATCTGAACTTGAGCCTGAAGCCAGGGTGGACTTTGTGATCGGGAAAAGAAAAACACACATGCTGAAATAAAATTTCCCGAACCAACACTTATCTGGACTGCATTTAATGCATTCTGACATTTTTCCATTCTGTTCTTTCACATTTCAATTTTTCAAAAAAAGTTGGCTATGACCCATTGAAATGATTTCACAACCCATTAATTGGTTGTGAGCTGAAGTTTTAGAAAATAGCGCATCTAAACAGACGTTTTTGTGGGTGTGCATGTGTGAAGGCAAGGTTGGTGAAGTAATGTTTTCCTACCAGTCATGTTAATAAGTGTAGCCATAATAAAGCATAAACCGTTTAGTTAATTAGAATATTTACCATAATAAATGCTGTTGAGTTGGTTTCTTTATGAATAGAGCATTTTGTCTGCTAGGAGGAAGTAATTGAGTGTTTCCAATGTGCCCAGATGATAATCCTTATAATACTTCTTGTTGTTGTTAAATGGACTATTGAAATGGTATTTTGTCTGTGTGTCTTGGCTGGTAATGAACACTGTTTTATCATCGTAGGGCTACCAGAACAGCTGTTGACACTCAAAGAATGTCTGGGATCACCCGTTAGGTTGGAAAGAAACAAGGCATATTATAGTTTAACCCTTGTCTTGTCCATGTGATGCCAGATGGTAGGATACTTGATCAAGTTAGAGAAAGGAAAGCAATATTCTTGTTTGTCTTTGGCATTTGTTTTTTTTTCTTTATCATTTAGTAGACATTGCTTCAGATTAGAGCATTTTATATTTTTCTCTTTAGAACATATACTTGTCAAAAACTATTCTTTTTAAAAAGACCCCCCCCCCAAAAAAAGAAGCAGCAGCTGAACTTGTTTTTCACACTAGAAGATATTGAATTAACTGGTTTTAATTAAGAAAATTTTTTTTGGCAAGCAATTAGCATCCAATAGTTTTATTTTTTTGAAGTTACCCTTTTAAGGATGTGTAATTAAGCCCCACACGCCTTGTGTTGTGTTGTGATATTTACACACTCGTGTTTTGTTCTCTCTTTTCTAACTTGGAGGATTAGTATCTCCTTGAAAAAACGCACCCCGAAATGTCTCCTAAGTTGTATTGCTTCATTGAAGAGCACAAGCAAGAACAGCATACAACGCCACCTTTGGAAATGAAGTCATGCATCTTTCTTCATTGCCGGACTCTCATATTTCCGAAGGGGGCTGTTTTCAGTGCTGCCCATTCACACACTCCCCAACACAAGCGACATATGCCTACACAGACAGACAGAAGCGTGAATTCAAGGGCTTGCTTTCTACCCGTGACACGTGGAATGTGCGGGAGCGGGAATGTCAGTGGGCATCACAGGGATGGATCTGAAAAGGGCCTTAGTAGTCAGTTCAGGGTATTTCATAGGAGAAGAAATTGACATCCTCAAGGCCTGGTGGTTTCTCCTTCCCCGCGTCCCCTCCTTCCGTCCCATTGTAATATACAGCTGCCAGAAGGCTGCCCGCGGAACTGAAGTGTGTCAACCCTGCTGGCAGCTTTCCATGCGTTTTAGAGTAAAGTTCTGAGTTTGGAAGGTCCTGTGGAAAGCCTTTAGGCATGTGCTGTCCGCCTGTGTTGGTTGCTTCTCTCGCCACTGGTAGCCACACTCCTTGTACTCAAGTTCTTTGATGGTCTTTTCATTTCTGACCATGCTTCTCATCATTCTTCAATTCCTTTGTGGTTTTATCTCTTTGACCACTCTGGTTTTATCCCGTTTGACCAGGCGTTCACACATGATATTCTCTCTGACAGGAAGGTCTACTCCATCCGAGACACACATTATCTAGTTGAGGTTTTTAATTTTTTTGTTTCTCACTATGAACCCAGTGCGGGCTACGCTTTTACATCATGATCACATACATGTATGTATGTGTATATTATATGTAATATATATCATATTTTAAAAATCTAAATACTTGTCATGAAACACTACTTATTTTTATACGTGATGTAAACTTTGATATTCATTATATTCCTTTTTTTTTTTTTTGAGCCAAAGTCTCCCTCTGTCACCCAGGCTGGAGTGCAGTGGTATGCTCATGGCCACCGCAGCCTCTACCTGCTGGGCTCAGGCGATCCTTTCACCTCAGCCTTCCAAGTATTTGGAGCTACAGGTGTGCACCACCATGCCTGGCTAGGGACGAGGTCTTGCCAGTTTACCCAGGCTGGTCTCTAACCCCTAAATTTAGGCAGTCCTCTCTCCTCGGCCTCCCAAAGTGCTGGGATTACAGGCTTGAGCCACTGCAACTGGCCTATTTTTGTTTTGCTCTAAGAGTCGAAGGTGGCATTTTCTCCAGCCTTGCTGAGTTGCTAGGAAGATCATGTACTTAGGATGTTCAAGTATCTTAATTAGATAATGACTTCACAAGCTGCAGACTTGTCTCTGCAGTAATTAGTATTTATTTTAAAGTGTCAGTATGACTGTTGTGGCAGTTATCCTCCTAAAGACTCCAAGGTTGCGGGGAAGCAAGTTTTAGACACCTGCTGGGAAGTGCTGAGCCTTGGTGCCTGAAAACACCAGAGAAGATGCCAGGAGAATGGAGCCTCTTTACCGTGCTTCAGGGCAACGTACTTAGAATTGAAATGATGCACATGTCGTGAGAAGGGTGTCTGTTGTGACTCTTAGTTGGACTCTAGCAGTGCAAAAACATGTGGGGTCAGAAAAACATCTCTGGAGCCAAATCTGACTACCATGGCATGTATGGATTTGGGTATGTAGCTTTTATCATTTAAAAGTGCAATAGCCAGGTGTAATCGCTTATTCCAATAATCCCAGCACTTTGGGAGGCCGAGGCAGGAGGATTGCTTAAGCCCAGGAGTTTGAGGCCAGCCTAGGCAATACAGCAAGACCTCATCTCTACCAAAAAATAAAATAAAATGAAATAATTAGCTGAGCATGGCAGTGCGTGCCTGTAGTTCCAACTACTTAGGAGGCTGAGGCGGTCGCCTGAGCCCAGGAGGTAGAGGCTGCAGTGAGCCATGATCATGCCACTGCACTCCATCTAGCCTGGGAGACAGAGTGAGACCTGAACTCATTCTTAAATAAATAAATAAACAATAAATAATAAATAAATAACTAAAAATGCAGTAATGTGTTTTTTTTAAAAGGTAAATTTAGTCAAATGTTGCAACAATATCTTAAACAGCAATGGCAAGAGGAGAGTGGACAATGGATTTTTTTTTTTTTTTAGTTGGAATCTCACTGTGTTGCCCAGGCTGGAGTGCAGTGGTTTGCTCACAGCCACCACAGCCTCGACCTGCTGGGTTTAGGCGATCTTTCTGCCTTAGCCTTCCAAGTAGCCAGAACTACAGGCACGCGCCACCATGCCCGGCTAGGATGGATTTTAATACAAAAAATTATCTTTGGACATCAAAGCCTCACTGTCCTAGCCTGGTGCCTTGTCCATTGTGGATAATGGATATTGTGCACATTTTTGTTAAATGGATGGCAGGATGTCTCCTTTTTTGCTTGCAAAGGAAAACTCTTAATTAATTTCGTATTCCTTTTGGCCTAGTGGCTTTCAGTAGCAAAGATGTTCCCTCCCATGAGTGGGCTGCTAGTTTTTATACATATTAGACTTTTAATATTTACATTTTCCATGAAAAGATATTTTCAGAGAAGTGGTTTTTTTTTTTTCATTTTACAAATGAAGAATCTTAGGTGTCAAGAGAGGACCAGTATTTATAACTATATGATTTCATATTTGTAAAAATATGTACCATACATAGGAGAAAAAATCTGTAATGATACCCAGAAAATATGGCAGTGGTTATCTGTGGGTACTGATATTGTGTTTTCTCTGTATTTCATTTTTTTTTTTTTTTTTTTTTTTTTTTTTTTTTTTTTTTTTTTTTTTTTTTAGTTTTAAGGTGTGGGGTACAATTCAGGATTAAGTATATGAGTGGCCATCATATAGGTAAAGTTTGGGCCTCTCTTTGGCCCCCACTTTGCCTGGTTTGAGATCAGGTACCCTTATTTATGTTGTGTTGTTCCCCCCTATATATTTCCATTTTTTAAAAACAATCGTCATCGATTACTTTTATTATTATAAAAAGGTGAAGGAGAAAATGAGATTACTTGCCCAAAGTTACAGAATAGTGTCAGAAAAGAAATTAAGCTCGTAATAAGCTTTGCCTAGAACTTGGAAGTTGTGTATGTGTATACTACTTGTTGATGTCTGAGAGAGAAACAGAGAGAGTCAGGCAGGCAGACAGACCTTCAACTTTGTTCCACTGGAGGCATTTTTCAAAGCTAGTTTTTAGTTTTTGTTTTTGGTCATACTATTGATATCTGTTAACTGGAGATTGGCCCCAAATTCCTGGTTGGTTACCAAAGACTGAAAAAGTTTACTGGGAAATTATTCGTTTTTGATCATCATAAACATGTGTTTTTTGAGTTTACGGACACCACTACCTTCCGCCCCCCCAGAGAACACTTTAGAGAACGCTGTGTTCTCTAGAACCTGTATGTAATTTACTGACTTTTGAAACAGCAAGGTAATATTTGAGATATAATCAACAATATGGTAGTAGCAAGACAGTTTTATCTAATACAAATAGGAGGGCTTGTTCAAATTTAGATAACATTGGGTCAGTCACAGTATATTTAAAATTAAATAATTCTGTGGCAAAAGGCCGAGACCCGATAAGGGCACGGTGGCAGAGTCTATGGTGGTACGGGCTTGGCCATCCACAAACAGGCTAGGCTCGCCTGGGGATCCTTTGACAGGGATGTTAAAAGGTACTTTGTGGAAACATGGTGTTCTTCTTCACTCTGTAGATACTTTAGCATTCATGAATTTGATGGGGAAAAAAAGTTGAGAGTTTAACCACTGGGGAGGTTTGACAATTTCCATTAAAAAATCGCCCCCTTTATTTTTTGAAATATATTTATTTTTTTTAGTTGGAATCTCACTCTGTTGCCCAGGCTGGAGTGCAGTGGTATGCACACAGCCACCCAAGCGTTGACCTGCTGGGCTCCGGCGATCCATCTGCCTCATCCTTCCAAGTAGCCGGAACTATAGGTGCGTGCAACCACACCCGGCTGATTTTTGATTTATTGTAGAGACAGGATCTCTCCAGGTTGCCCAGGCTGGTCTCGAACCCATGGGCTCAGGCAATCCACTCACCTCGGCCTCCCAAAGTGCTGGGGTTACAGGCTGAGCCACCAAGCCCGGCTGAACCTTTAAAGGTTCATCTTGTAAACAGTGACTGCTGGGTTTGTTTTTCTAGGGAAGTGATGTGCTTTTGTATTTCTGATCATCTTTTTTTTTTTTTTTTAAAGGAAGTATTTAAGCTCCAAGAGTGCTTCCAGTTTACTCCAGGTTCTTGGTCTTCTGTAGTATTTCATGTTTCTTTTCTGAAAAAGTGGCCTTTTTCTGGGAAGGTCAATGAAGGCAACATGAGGCTTCCTTTCCTCTTAATCCAGTCTTGTTGCACTAGATTCAGATGGCTTCTAGGAGCGGCAAAAACACCAATGACAATAAGATAACAGCTATGGTACATGGAGTTTATTCTAGGTGATTTGACATTTTCTGATCTTCACAGCAATCTAAGGCTTCAGGTATTTCTGCGCCCACTTTACCAAGAAGCCAGGGCTCAGAAAAGATGGACAGTTTACCAAAGACCACAGGGCTAGTGGTAGTGAGTCCAGAGGCAAACCTTGGTCTGTCTGGCTCCAAAGCCTGTACTTTGAGCCATGCAAGGTCAGCTCCAAAAAAAGTCTGTCTACTCTCTTAAAGCGGCCCAGCACATACAGTTGTGAGTTGGCGGTTCTTTAACCTTGTGCGATTTTGCTTTGTTTTGTTTTGTTATATGTATTTCTGGGTAGAAACCCAGGAGGCCAAAATACTGGGATTAGTTACTGATGTCACTAGTAAGCTTGCTTTGCTGATGTGACTTTGAAGGTAATAATTTATATGGCATATAAGCCTTGTGTATTGGTAATTGGTCATAGGAGGCCAGGTGTGGTGACTCATGCCTGTAATCCTAGCACCTTGGGAGGCTAAAGCAGGAGAACCGCTTGAGGCCAGGGCAACTTAAGAGACTGCTTCTACCTAAATAAATAAATTAGCCAAGCTCTGTGGCATATGCTTGTAGTCCCAGCTACTCAGGAGGCTGAGGTCGAAGGATCACGTGAGCCCAGGAGATTGAGGCTGCAGTGAGCTGTGATTATGTCACTGCACTTCAGCCTGGATGACAGCTTGAGACTCAGACTCAGAAAAAAAAAAAGCCTGGTGCAGTGGCTTGCGCCTGTAATCCCAGCACTTTGGGAGGCGAAGTCAGGAGGATTGCTTGAGCCCAGGGGTTCAAGACCAGCCTAGGCAACATAGCATGACCTTGTCTCTACAAAAAATTAACCAGGTGTGGCGATGCGTGCCTGTAGTCCCAGCTACTCAGGAGGCTGAGGCGGAAGGATCACCTGCGCCCAGGAGGGGATATTGAGGCTGCAGTGATCTGTTATTGTGCCACCACACATCAGGCTGGGTGACAGAGCGAGATCCCGACTCAAAAAACTGAAAAATAATAAACAGATTAATATAAAAATGAAAAACAATTATTGTCCTAGGCGTCCGTGGGTGAACCGTTCAAGTTTAGCTCATCTTCTCCCCCTGCACCCCCACCTCCAACTCCAGTATCTTTCCTAACCACGTACTTACAGAGTCTGTGTGCTCCCCATTGGTGCTGGTGATGTCAGGTCTGGAATCCAATCTCCAGGCAGTCTGCAGGTTGTTTATCCCCATTAGCCCTCATTATTTTC